ATCTTCTTGATGTGGCAAGCTATTTCAAAATTCCTCAATGTATGACAAAGTTACAGTCCGGACACGAATGAAGTGGGAATGCACAGACAGTCGGTACCATTTTAATATGCCGTCCTCTGAGGGCATAAAAAAAAAGCTGACCAACAGTCCTGTAAGTTTCATGACTCTAGGTCAAACACATTTTTAAATAGCTTTTACTAAATAAAGATCAATAACTCTACAAATACTACAATGTATATAAATCCATAAAATAGGTGCACAATTACGCATGCTGAGCACTTTCATGACTCCAGGTCTAATACTTTTTTCAGCTAGACATGTCACAAGTTGAAAATTGCAAATTTATTCTATTGAAAATTGCAAATTTATACTATGTCCAGAGCAATAACTCCATATGCAAAAATTCCTTTTGCACAACTTGACATGCTGATAGTTTGTTGATTCTAGCTGAAACATTTTAAGAGGTACACATGATGTAACATTTTGGAACAGTTTTAACTAAGTCAAGAAACTCTAGAAATACTGAAAAAATATTCAAGGAAACACCCAGGTGCACAACTACACATGCTGACCAACATTTCTGCACAGTTTCAGGACTCTAGGTCAAATACTGTTTGTGCTATGCATGGCACAAGTTGAAAATTTTTATTAAGTCAAGGGTAATAACTATAAATAATGAAAAAATATGCAAGCAAAACACCCAGATGCACAACTAACACATGCTGACCAAAAACATTTTTTTTAAAGGATTTTCCTTCACCACTGTTTTCAATTACATATAGTGTAAAATTTTGGAAATTTTAGAAATTGATGGCAGATTCACAGAAGGCTGTGTTGTGTTATACATTTTCTGCGATCAGCTTGTTGAACAGGAAGAGAATATAATAATGCTGTTTAAAGAACTTGTGGATAAAGGCAAACAACAAATTGAACAACCAACACACTGCCATGTTCACTGAGCTCAGCTAAAGAGGGTAGAATTTTCAAACAACATTTCAACAAAACTTTAAAAATGTCTCCATGACACTGCTTGATTCATCATTGTACAGTGCAAAACATGCTCCAAACAGTTTACTCATGCTACCAGTTTACATTCATGCCATCTGAACAAGGTCTGCATTGAATCAGTACCTATTTTGTATTTTTCCCCAAAAATATCAAATGGTTCTGTCCAGACTAAAGGATGGAAAAGAAAGTCCATCATGGTAAAGGGTGAGCTAGTAACTTTGATAGGACTTCAGTAAAACATGATTCAATTAAACATTTCAATTTTTACACAATCATAACTAACAATGAAATGTTTTTGAAAACCTTTACTTCCAAAAACTAAAAATGATTAGCATTAGCCAGGAGTATACAGCCAGGACAACCTGCACTACTGTGCCGTCTATGACCTATGGACCTTTTTGAAAACCTAGCTTAACAATGTTTTCCAGTAAGTAAAGGATTTAGCTCTGGGGAATTACACTCGATGCAGAACACAGTATTACTATGTGATATTCCTATTTTTACTATTTTATTATTTAACCTTTTAAGGTGGAATAACTTGATGTGTTAGAAAATTATGAATGTGCCTCTATTTATAATCTATCTAAAATTTTATAAAAATTAAATAGTTTATAATGAAAATCTACAAATTTCCAACAGTTATAGTGGCACCTGCAATAATAACAAGAGGGCCAGGATGGTCCTTATATCGCTCACCTGATTATGAAGGCTCAATCCCAATTTTCATGATATATGGACTGGAACAGTATCTCCTAGAGTGATTACAAGATTTTTCCATATTTGGGCTGTGTGACCAAGTTTTTGACCCCAGGTGACCCATACTTGAACTTTAGCTAGAAATCACCTAAGCAACCTTTCTGACCAATTTCAAGGATATTTGGCCCGTTGAGTGTTAACAGTGGTTTTCAATATTAAGGCTGTGTGACCTAATTTTTAAACCAAAGTGACCCATATTTAAAGTTGACATAGAAATCATAATTAAAACCTTTATGACCAATTTCCAGGATATTTGGACTGGAACAGTAGCCCCTTGAGGGTTAACAAGGTTTTTATATATTTTAGCTGTGTGAGCTAGGTTTTGACCCAAGATGACCCATATACAATTTGACCTAGAAGTCATCAAAACAACCTTCCTGACTAATTTCCAGGATATATGGATCAAAACAGTAGCCTCTAGAGTGTTAACAAGGTTTTTTTTATATATTATGGCTGTGTGACCTTGACAACCTTTCTGACCAATTTCAAGGACATTTGGATCACAACCGTGGCCACTAGAAAGTTAACAAGATTTTTATATTTCTTAGTTCCTGTGACCTAGTTTTTCATCCGAGATGACCTATGTTCGAACTCATCTGAACAATAACTAAGAAAAGCATTCTGACCAAGTTTCATGACAACTGAGGCAAAAATGTGTGTTAACAAACTAAATGTGGATAGACTAAGGACATTCAACCTTCCTAAAAGCTCACCCTGAGCAAGCATAATTATGTTATGCTAGCCTCTGGCATGCATATTATTTTATTCAACGAGTTCAATAAATTAAGTTATAACTCTTCACAAATATAAAACTGTCCAACCTCATTTATTCGATGTGCCTGGGACTGAAAATTTACTTCGAATAATAATTATTGATAGGTTCGAATAATCGAAATAGGAATATTGTGATAGACGAAATCTACTCCACTTTGACCAATCATAGCAAAACTACGGTTTACAACACTTACTTCCTGCATTCAACTGAGAAAAATAAATATTTAAGAAAAGATGTGTGAAAATTATTTTATTGGCATTGAAAACATAAATACTTGGATTTTATTCTACATTATGTATTGTTTCGTTTCATAGCCTTGATAATGGCCATGTTTACTAAGGTATTTTCAGCTAAACTCTGGTATTTTTAGATTAGGGTAAAGGCTCTCATGTAGCGTTACTACGAAAAAAATGTTTTGGATGTTTTGACGAATTCACATATACGGTATGTATGAAAATTATTGCTGTCATCTTCAAGCAATAACAGAAACAACATCAAACACGGTGCATGGCTTTTCATTTTCAGTAATTAAAGATGATTAAAGAACACACAAAGCGTAATTATCATGATTGTCTAAATACACCCATGACTGTTGATATTTTTCACAAGTCCACCGGTCAGTGAGTGGATCTGCGCCAATTAGTCTGGCTTCGAATAATAATTAGTCTGACTTCGAATAATAGATGTGAAATTTTTTCATAATTGTATAATCGGGTCCGAAATTTTACTTCGGAAAATAGGAGGTATTCGGATAATGCATTTCGAATAATACGCAAGCTTGTATTTATATTGATTTATATAGAGATAAAAACTGGACTGCCGATCTACTTCGAATAATGCCGGGTATGCGAATAAAGGGTTGTTGAATAACCGGGGTTGGACTGTATTATATTTATCACATAACTCACATAATAACTGCTTACAGTGACAAAATCTTTTTTTGTTACTGACACACCTATATAATGTAAAGCTAATTTTTAGTGCATCTTAATGCTATGTTTGCAAAACTCAAATGAAGTCATTTCAAAATAAATACACAACTGTTTTATGCACCGGACAAAAAAAAAGCAATGGAAAAGTAACAAAGGGCAAGAACTCTGTAACTAGTCAAGATGGAGTTATGGTTCTTGTGCACTGCACTTCCCCTTATTGTGCTTGACCATTGTATGAAGTTGTTTTGAATTCCAACCAGTAGTTTTCATGTCATGCTCTGGACAAGGAAAACTAACAAAGTGCAGTAACTCTGAAATAAGTCAAGATGGAGTTATGGTTCTTGTGCACTGCACTTCCTCTCAATGTGCTTGACCATTGTATGAAGTTATAATGAATTCCAACAATTAGTCTTCAAGTTATGGTCTGGACAAAAGAAAGCTATGGAAAAGTAACAAAGGGCAATAACTCTGTAATTACTTTAGATAAAGTTATGGTTCTTGTGCACTGCACTTCCCCTTATTGTGTTTGACAATTGTATGAAGTTGTTTTTAATTCCAACCAGTAGTTTTCAAGTTATGCCCCGGACAAGGAAAAGTAACAAAGGGCAATAACTCTGTGATTAGTCAAGATAGAGTTATGGTTCTTGTGCACTGCACTTCCTCTCAATGTGCTTGACCATTGTATGAAGTTATAATGAATTCCAACAATTAGTCTTCAAGTTATGGTCCGGACAAAAGAAAGCAATGGAAAAGTAACAAAGGGCAATAACTCTGTAATTACTTTAGATAGAGTTATGGTTCTTGTGCACTGCACTTCCCCTTATTGTGTTTGACAATTGTATGAAGTTGTTTTTAATTCCAACCAGTAGTTTTCAAGTTATGCCCCGGACAAGGAAAAGTAACAAAGGGCAATAACTCTGTAATTAGTCAAGATAGAGTTATGGTTCTTGTGCACTGCACTTCCTCTCAATGGCTTGACCATTGTATGTAGTTATATTGAATTCCAACCATTAGTCTTCAAGTTATGCTCCAGACAAGGAAAATGCAATGGACGTCTGGACCGACCGACCAACTGACCACCGAGTGACTCCTATATACCCCCCAAAACTTCGTTTTTGGGGGTATAAAAATTGTTTTATTTCATTTTCATATAAGAAAAGCTTTATTGCTATTGCACGCCATTTAGGTTATTCCCCCAGAACATACGTCTGCAATGTACAGAAAGTTCTGGGAAAACAGTGTTTAGCTAGGTTCTGGAATTCATGAACACTTCTTTTCATTACAGATATTTCCAAAACTAGAAACTGGACAAGAGTGAGAAATTCAGCAGATTAAGGTATAAGAAGCTCAAGTCTTGGTGTGTGACAGTATTGTTTACCCATAATTCCATGCAAATTTCATTTTGCTGTTAAACAATCTCTGCATCATAAATCAAGCATGATCAAAGAGCACTAAATTGTAAAAACAAAAACAAAATTCCAATCTTAAAAGCAAAACAAACTGGATTAAAACAGGAAACTTGTATACACATTGTCACTGAAGATTCTGTGCTTTTCAGATCCCTCCTGGATGCTAAATACAGAATGCAAAATTGTCTGAAAATTGAAATAATCCAGAAAATAATATAATAATTTTCGTTTCTAGATCAGTAAAAATCTCATACTTCTCTTACTTGAAGTCAATTTGATCTTTACATATGGCAAAGGCTTATCCATTTTGGTTCTAACTAAAAGGCTGATGCAATATCTTTTTTTAATTCAAAGTGAAAACAGAATCATTTTGATAAATATATCAAAATGTATAAATTATAATGTGCATCTTGTTTATTTTTCCAAATCTTTTTGCCATAGAAAAAAGCAGCATTTAACTTAATATGAGAAAACAGGAATCCTGTATAAGACAGAAGCTTGCTCTAACCGCTCTACACTATTACATGTACACCGTTTGAATTAGTCACAATATTGTTTTGTGTATTATAAAATTAAACATGTCATCATTCTACAACCAAAGGATTCCACTGAGGTTTTCTGACATGAGCCGACTATAAAGGGACTTGCTTAATATTAAAACAACAAAATTATATACAGGTCTGGACAAATAACTTGTGTGCAAAACTGTAGATCATCAAGAGATTTTTCCACAATAGTCATTTAAATTGTGTCAAATAATCAAACAAGCAATTATCATAGTATTGCAAGCAATCCATAAGTCCCCTACCGGTTAGAACCCAAGCAACATTCTGATTGGCCAGGGCCATTCAATTAAACCATTGAATGAATGAATAAATGACATGAATGAACTTAAATCTTTTGGTAGCCAGCCCGCATAGCTCAATCGGTTAGAGCGCGAGACTTGTAATCTCGACATTGTGGGTTCGATTCCCGGGCTGGCAAACTAAAATTACTAATCAGTCTTTCGGATGAGACTTTAAATCGAGGTCCCGTGTATGGGTGCTTAAACACTTGGCACGCTAAAGAACCAGGAGAAGCTTCTGGAATTGGGGCATCTTTCTGTATCTGTAATTGCACTATCCTCCAAAAATCTAAAATGACTAATACTCTTCTGGAGGACTCGCCCATATGGGCAAACGGTGGCGAGTATAAATAAACGCAAATACACACACAAATCTTTTGAGTTCTAAGTTTGTCTATATCATAGAAATGTGTTAGTTTCCTTGCCAAGTAAGGAAATTATGTTTATACAATAGATAATCAAAAGGTCTAATTTTCTCAGGATGAATAAGTATAACAAATGTTTCAACTTTTCTCTATTTTAAGTAAATTTGTTTGAAAAAAATCTTTAAAAGTGATCTCAAAGTGATTAGCATTAAGGCAACATGTAAACATGTATAGCCAGGCAAACACACATGTCACTTGGTTGCCAAATTGTTATGTTTGGACATATTGAAATCCCATTCATTTATAATTGACTGTTCCAAATAAAAACCTTAGCAAATCCAGATTTACACAAATTCTACATCAGTGTAAACATTAAATACAGTAGAACTTTTATGAATCAGACTTTGGCTCCTCGATTTTCACTTCGGCTACTTGATTTTCTCGATGTGTCAGAGTAAAATAAAAGTCCCGTTATTCCATCCTATATATTCCTTATAAAAACCTATATATGAGTCAAAATTTTATGTGACAAATTTTTTAATGTGCCAAAGTTTTTTTGTGGTCTGTAAAGATTAAATAGAGTACAAAAAATAGAGTACAATTTGTCACAAATAAGTCAAAGTCCCTCGATTATTCTGACACCTTTGATCTTGAGACATTTTTAACACCTTTTACGACAGGGAAGATGATTTTCCATCAACTTGTGAGACAGTTGTTGATTACATAGTCGTGTGTTCTAACTGACTTTATATGCATTCACATGTGTGATAAAATGCTTTAAAGTTACCATTCAAATTGCCATAGTGTATTTAAAAGTAAACAGTAAGAACTAGACCTACTTTCAATTGAGAATTTCTGTAACCCGGTGTTGCACGATAATCACACTGGATATATTAACTATATGCTGGTTTAGTTATCGCCCTTTCCTTTTATTGCGCCTTTTGAAACTTGCTTGAAGATGTCAATGGCTTGGAATTTTGTCATTGAGACCTAAATTCATGATTCAAAGTCCAGATGTGTCAAAGTTTTTACGCAAGTCCCTTCAACTTTGACTTACCAAACTTACGATATTTTAAATTTAGTAAAGGTATTAGATGAAAAGTTATAGAAAACATACAAAATTAAAGAACAAGAACTGTCGGAGGACAGTAACGCTTGACTATTCGGAAATTTGTCACAAGGGTGTTTCATTGAGTATAATATGCTTACCTTTATGAATACATAAAATTGTCCAAAAAGGTACAAACCCTTCAAGTTTCAATACATTCCCTTCAGTAGTTATGGAGATGCAAGCTTACACGCAAAAACTTAACCAAGAACTGTCGGAACTGTCGGAGGACAGTAACGCTCGACTATTCGAAAAGTTGTCACGAGTGTGTTTCATTTAGTATAATAATGCTTACCTATATGAATACATAAAATTGTCCGAAAAGGTACAAAGGCTTGTTATTAAGATGTTTTATTGAGTTAATCACTGCTTTATTATTATGAATGCATAAAATTGTTCCAAAAAAAGGCACAAACCCTTCAGTAGTTTTGGAGTTATTTGCTTACATGTAAAAACTTAACCAAGAATTTGAAGGAGTTGAAAAGGGGCATAATTATACTAAAAAGCAATCAGAATTATGGGACTTGTGCCAATCATGTAAGATAATCACAGGGAACAAGTGTGTGAAGTTTCAAACCATTCCCTTCAGTAGTTATGGAGATACCAGCTTGCACGAAAAAACTTAACCAAGAATATCTAAGTCAAAAAAGGGGCATAATTATGTTAACAAGAACTGTCGGAGGACAGTAACGCTAGACTATTCAGAAATTTGTCACAAGGGTGTTTCATTGAGTATAATAATGCTTACCTTTATGAATACATAAAATTGACCAAAAAGGTACAAACCCTTCAAGTTTCAATACATTCCCTTCAGTAGTTATGGAGATGCAAGCTTACACCCAAAAACTTAACCAAGAATTTCTAAGTCGAAAAAGGGGCATAATTATGTAAAAAAGCAAATCATAGTTATGGGACTTGTGCCAATCATCTTAGATAATCACAGAGAACAAGTCTGTGAAGTTTCAATCCATTCCCTTCAGTAGTTATGGAGATACCAGCTTACACGCAAAAACTTAACCAAGAATTTCTAAGTCGAAAAAGGGGCATAACTATGTAAAAAAGCAAATCAAGAGTTATGTGACTTGTGTCAATCATCTTAGATAATCACAGAGAACAAGTGTGTGAAGTTTCAATCCATTCCCTTCAGTAGTTATGGAGATACCAGCTTACATACAAAAACTTAACCAAGAATTTCTAAGTCGAAAAAGGGGCATAATTATGTAAAAAAGCAAATCAGAGTTATGGGACTTGTGCCAATCATCTTAGATCATCACAGAGAACAAGTGTGTGAAGTTTCAATCCATTCCCTTCAGTAGTTATGGAGATACCAGCTTACATACAAAAAATTAACCAAGAATTTCTAAGTCAAAAAAGGGGCATAATTATGTAAAAAAGCAAATCTGAGTTATGGGACTTGTGCCAATCATCTTAGATCATCACAGAGAACAAGTGTGTGAAGTTTCAATCCATTCCCTTCAGTAGTTATGGAGATACCAGCTTACATACAAAAACTTAACCACAGGGACGCCGACGCCGCCGCCGACGCCGACAAATGGGTGACTGCATTAGCTCGATTATTCTGCGAATAGTCGAGCTAAAAACATGTACTTGTAATTAACAAGAAACGCAGCACTGCAACAAAAACCAAGTTTTCAAAGACCAAGTATTGATGTGACAGGAATTAGGAATGAAATATGGCAGTGAAGAATAAATAGTGATGCTGTTATTTGTACCAACAAAGAAAGTTGGTTTCAATAGTTCAAAATAAAATTAGAGCAATCCAAACCAGGATATTCATATTAACTTGCTTTATACTAAATTTGAAAGTACATGTAATATCTCATTTCTAACTCTATTTATTGTCCGAAAACCATTTTTCTATTTTTAGTAATGGTGACCCTGACCCAGGGCAACCAAAAGCAATTTCCAATCAGGGTCTCCATATAAGCTTGCTATACATCAAGTTTGATAACATTATGTTAATCCTAACTCTAGTTATTTGTTTGAAAACCAGTTTTCGTTTTTTTGTAACAGTGACCTTGACTCTAGGGGGTTTAAATGGAATGTAGAATTTTTATAGAGTGGACAAAACCCCACCACTTAATTTTATAGAGTGGACAAAACCCCACCACTAAATTTCACAGAGTTGACAAAACCCCACCACTTCAGTTTTATAGAGTGGACAAAACATGTTAAAAAACAAACAATTGTGCATCAGCAGAAACTCAAAAGAATGTGTGAACAACTCATCAATAAGGAGAAGACTGTACCTGAGTTTCTTCAGGCTATCGGCCATTGTATCCGCTTAAACTGGTATCCGGACAATTCCCCTCCCGGACGATTCCCCTCCCAGTAAATTTGAATGTTTTTTCACAACCCGGACATTTCCCCTCCCGTTATTTTTTTACGGCGGACAATTCCCCTCCCGTTAATTTTACAGGGCGGACAATTCCCCTCACGTTATTTTAGCAGAGCGGACAATTTCCCTCCCGCTGTTGTCAGAGCGGACAATTTCCCTCCCGTGGCTATTGAACATATATATGTTATAATATTGTTTATTTTAAAGGCAAGACATGTTGATTTTTTGTAGCTTATTGTGAAGTTGCAGTACATGAAAAACGGGCACATGACAAATCAGCACATAAATAAAACATTATGGTGTTCCGTGGTATACATCTTTTCTATGTGTCATACTTCCTTTCCTTATTACAATGAAATTTTACTTGATTGTTATCCATCGCTGATTTGTTTTTAGCAGAGAATGACCTGTGCATGTTCAAAGAGGGTACCATTTGAGCAGATTTTCGCAAAGAGGGTACCGATATGGATATGCACTGTGATTTTTCTGCAGCGGTAAAATAATTGTAAA